ATAGCCTTACGGCACAAATCAAAAATAGAGAGAAATGTAAAGGAAATTACTCATTTTAAGGAAGATGGAAAAATTTGATTTGGGACTTCATTTCATATAGGGTCAAATTATTTAATTTAAAAAATTCTTTTAAAAATTATTTAAGAATTTTTACAAGTTAAAAAAGCTTTATGAATTTTTATAAGAAATATTATTATTTTTAAATAATTTAGAGTGAAGTTATTGAGTCCACCTCTGAAGACCTCTAACTTTTGATCAACACAAATTTTTTTAACTTTTTTCCTTACAAGTTTAATCGGAGGATTTAAAGGGGATATAGAGGGATTAAAGGGGATATTGAGGATTTTGAGGTTTTAATTGAGGATTTTAAGGATTTTGAGGCGCCTAAATTTTTTCATGCAAAAAATAAGGCAACCTTCCAAATTTTAAGGATTGATTGATTTAATAGTAATTATATAAAAATTCGACATTTTTTAAATTTGAGTAGCTCCCCGAGCCTTCGGGGTTCGAAGTGTCGAGGTTGGGGTTGACTTTTGAATCGGGGTATGGGGGACGGAGAAACACCCTATTTTAAATAATTATGTAAATGTCACTTCAATTATCACCACTAAAAAGTATTTATTTTTAAATAAATAAACGTCAAAAATTAAATTATCCGTTATTTCCCCTAAAAATTTATTTTCCTTTCATTCATTTTTTCCTCCAAAATAATATAAAAATAAAATAATATCCATTAATCATCATTCCCTATTTATAACATTTTTAAATCCAAAAAAAATACATTAGTTTAATTATCCCCAAAATATATATTTATTACATTCTCGACTACAATTTTCCATTATTTTTTTTAAAAATCCATTCTTCCATGAAAACATTATTTTTTAAATTAATTTTATTTGGGGTAATATGTAAATAAAAGGAAAATATTTTTAATTAAATTAATTTGAAAAAAAAAATGAAAAATTTCTTAACAGAAGAAAATCATAAGTACCGTATTGTCTCTAATAGAAGCCCATGCCCTATTAGAAGCCTACTGGATAAAAATTATCGAAAATAGACGCCCAGGGCTTGTATTAGAGACAAACGGTATTTTGTAGTAAATTAGCAAGTATCATTGACAGATCCAACGGGATTAATCCAAAATTCCAAGAATACAATCAATCTCGAAAATTACAAAAGAACGGGATTTTGAGATGTGATCCTGGAAAATTTTCTTAGGGATTCTGTGACGATTCCAATAACAATTAACAGTATTAATAAATTACTAAAGTTACTTTTGAATTTTTAATCAAGAACTAAATAATTATATGTATTTTTGTGATTTTTAAATTTATAAAATTCACTAATTTAATTATTTTAAAACCCCCCATCATTCCTTCAAAATTAAAAAAAAATTTTCCTGTGGTATTTTTCCTCTGGTATTTTAGTTTGACCAATGTGTACTTTTCTGAGAAAGGAAAAGGTGAAGAAAAATAAAATGGTGGCGTATAATGTGTGATAATACCAAAAAAATTTTTCTAAAATATACTCTTAATTAATAAAAAAATATTAAAAATAAATAAAAACCCTTAAATTAATTTTTCAACCATTTAAGCACCTCAAAACTAATATTTATTTTACTGCGCATTTCGGCATCGATTCTTTCCTTTTTATTTTACTTTTAACACAATTTCTTTGGCAAAAATAGGCAATTAACATACCTTTCTTTTTTTGATGCCAGAAAAATGTTTTTATATTTATTTCCTTTTATTTTTACTTTATTTTTACTTCTTCTAAAAAGGAAATTTTTCTATTTTTTTACTTAAATTTCTTTAAAATATACACATATTTTTACTACATTAAAAAATTAAAAATTGTTTGTTTTTTAATATTTAGTAATTTTTAATAGTTTTTTAACAGAGGGACCAATTAATTATAAATTTAAGGATACTAGGAATTTATACTTTTAATTATGTATATATCGAAGACACTCTAGTTAATAAAGCAAAAAACACTAACATCTTCCATGTTTCCCTACACTTTTTTCCTTTCCGATGCTCAGAGAGTTTGTTAAAGTTCAAGAAGGACAGCAGACTTAGATCACTCGAACTATTGCTTTTATGCTCGATTTTTCAGGATCCGGATTCCGGATTTCTAACTAGAGCCGGACCAGATCTGGCCGGATTTTTCTAGATTAATTCGAAACAGAAAAATTACGGAAATTGTAAAAACCCCCCACTTTTGGTACCCGGACTCCGGAAAAATCCGGCTGAATCCGGTGCGGCGCCGGGCACTGTTACTATAATAAGTACATTTCCGCTTGCCAAAATTTCTTTCCATTCCATCATTTCCAACCACCTCTAATAATTATTTCCCATTTTATTTTCAATTTTTGCCATAAATTCAGAAAAAACTTTTTTTCCATTAAAAACACTAAATGGCATCCATCTTTTTCACTTTTCCTTTTTTTATTGCCCTTCTCTTTGAAGAAAAAACAACAAACAAGAGGGAGGACATTTAAAAGAAAGGAGGAAATTCCAATTAGTATTTAGTCTACACACACATCTGTTTGAAGGCTTCACAAAAAAGAAGAAGAAGAATAGCTTTTATATAGCCATTTTTGGCTTAATTGGAATGAGGAGACTGCCACTAAAAACGTTTTTGTTTTGTTTTTTGCCGTTGACAGATAAATCGATGGGGACAATTTTTATAAATTAAAAAAACAATGAAAGGTTTTGTAGAAAGGAAGAGGTACGGGTTTCTTTTTTAATTGAGGACGCGTTTTGGAATTTTCTGAGTGAAGGGAATTTTTGAGAGGCGCTTATTTAGGTAAAGAATATGTATGTAGAAGTAGGCTTTAAATTAGGTAGTTTTATTGCCCGATTAGAGATATCTCCGCATTTAAGGCTAAGGAGATCCCACAAAGTTTATTATAGGTCTGACTTTTCTGATTCAAATTCAGTTTTTATTTTTATAATAAATACCTATTCCCCAAAAGTTAATTGCTTTCTTAGCAGGGATCTAGCCAACATGATTCACAATTCCAGAAAATCGGGAATCGGATTTTTGTCGATAATGCCGATTCCCGAAAATCTGGATTTGATTTTTATGTCGGCTAGATCCCTGTTACTTAGGACATTATTTACAGCTTAAATAAATAGATAAGTGAAGTTGAGGTAGGTATTATTTTAACTTTGAGGTCCGCAAATTTATTTTGAGGTGGAAATTCTTTCCTTTAAGATTTATTCTGAGATTTTATCTTAATTAATAGGTTGGTTGGAGGATTACAAGGAATTAAGAGAAAATGTCGAGATAAAGTTTTTGCTTTAACAAATAAACAAAAAATACCCTCCATTACATTTTCTATTATTGTTTATTTCCTCATTTCCACACATTTTTTCATTTATTTATTTCTCTTTCCACACTTTTTAAAATAAAAACTACAATTTTTTAAAGCTTTTATTTTACTAAAAAATTATTAGAAAAAACTATTGGAGTTTTAACAGTTAAGCTATCGTTCGCTGTACCCCCAGTGATAGCTTTATTTCAATAGGAACAGTTTCCTTTTTTAGTCACCTCTTTTTAACTGTAAATCTAAATTTTTTGCATAAATTGCATAAGGGTTTTGTTGTATCCGCACTTTTAAAAGAATATAAATCAGGGTGGCCCTTTTACCCTATTTATAGAGGATTTTCCCTATTTTTGACCTTTTCGCCCTATTTTTTCCCTATTTTCTCATTTGCCATATTTTTGCCCTATTTTTACCATCTTGTAAAATTTTAAAAATTCTTCGGATTTTGTAAGAAAAATGGTAAAAATTAAGGATTTCTGACTTCCTGGCCTTCCAAAATCCTCAAAATTTTCGCCTGCGGCACAAAAAATGGAAGAAATCTGGCTTCTAGCCTCCCAAAATCATCGAAATTTTCGCCTGCGGCGCTAAAAATGGAAAAAATTTGGCCTCTAGGCCTTCCAAAATTCTCAAAAATTTCGCCTTGTTTGAAATTTTAAGTATGCTTAAGCTTTTAAAGCTATGCCCTAATTTTTGCCCCATTTTTGGCCGATTTCGCCCTATTTTTGCCCTATTTTTGAGTGGCTGTGCCCTATTTTAGTGTTTTAGAAGGGGCCACCCTGATATAAATGTAAATAAATAACCCATCATCGGGGTTGGATGTTGGCACAGTTGGTTATGCTTCGTCTGGGCTAATTCCATGATGGTTCTATTCCATATCCCATCTAATGAATTTTCCCACAGCATGCATGAACATGTATGCAATATCTTTTAATAAATCTCTGATCCACGTCGATAAGGCCAAAAGTCGAGGTATCTCTTTCGTTTTCTTCAATGCTTATCAGCTCGACTATTTACAGAATTCTGTCATGAGCAGAGGTCGCCTCTAGGGTTTGTAGCCATTCCCGTTTACCCGCGAATAACAATATTCACCTCTACTTCCATTGTTAGGTCAATTATAACTAGGGTTGGTCCCCGAGCCTTCGGGGTTGAAAAAGTCGGGGGTCGGGGTTTTCGGGGTTGACAAAGTCGGGGTCGGGGTCGGGGTTGCTCAAATTGTTCGGGGTCGGGGTCGGGGCTGAAAATAATGTCGGGGTTCGGGGTCGGGGTCGGGGGTCGGGGTTGAAGTGAAAATTTTACAAAATCCAGCATTTTTATCAAACATTACTGTTCAAAATCAACATTTTTATAAAAAAAATCAACTTAATCTTCATTATCATTATCTTCACTTTCTGAATCTGATTCGATATTATTCGAAGGCGCAAGAAGTACTTTATCCAAGTTAGCTTTTACTACGAGTATTTGCCTGACAGTTTTTCCTGACAATCTAAAATTATTATTTTTTTAATCACAAATAAATAAAACCTATTCCTGAGAGTATTAGCATATATAAGTCCCGCTTTCGAGAAAAGCCTCTCAGAACAAATGGAAGTTGCGGGAATACAATGCAACATTTGAGCAATTTTAGCCATTTCAGGAATGAACTTCCCATTATCTCTCCACCATGAAAATAAATCACTATCAACTGGTGATTTAGAAGCATAAGTGCCGCAATTTTTTCATCTGCTTTTTTTTGAGGCTCATCCTTACCAAGAAATTTTGATATATCCAGATTAGTCTGTTAATAAAAAATCTTATTTTATTAGTTTGCTCTTACTGATGTTGATGTATTCTTTTGCAAAAACTTCTCATATTCTGCCAAATGCATAGACTTAAGATGGTCCCATAAACCTTTTGTTGAACTTTTTTTACAAGAAAATTTATTTTCACAAAGCTTGCACCTAGCTGATTCATCAGCCGTTGGTAATTTTACAAAAAAATTCCAAATATCAGAAGATTTAGTTGACATTTTAATATAATTTATAATTAAATCTAAAGACCTATATAAAATTACAAATTCAAAATGAGTTGTGTATAACCAAACTATGAATAGAAAAAGCTAGTTTAAATTTTGTCATGAAAATATTCTCTGTGAATAGAGAAAAATAAAAATAGTTCTTTTCCTCTTTTTTTAGTTGTCTTTTCTTTCTTTTGTTTTATCAGAATATAGCAGAATGCCAACAAAAAAATATATAAAAGTTAATTAATGCAGTTTGAGTCGGGGTCATAAAAATTTTTCGGGGTTCGGGGTCGTCGGGGTCGAACTTTCGGGGGTCGGGGTTTTCGGGGTTGGGAATGTCGGGGTCGGGGTCGGGGTTTTAGGTCAAAAAATGTCGGGGTTCGGGGTCGGGGTCGGGGTTAGTCGGGGTCGGGGACCAACCCTAATTATAACGTAAATAAATTTATTTACTTGTAATTATTCAAAAATATTTTTTGAAGAGAAAAAACCTTTCAAAATTCCTTTTTTTACTTTTTCCCTTTATTAAATAAAAATCCCCCCTTTTTTCTTCTCTATTGTCTCCCTTATCCTTTTATTTATATATATTTTAGCGGCTTTCTTCTTTTTTGTCCTTGTAATAATTTTTCTTTTTTTTTCGTATCCGTTTTTGTATGTTTTCCGGCTTTGTTTTTGCTAATATACCGAAAAATAACTAATTATTTATTTATATTTTTTCCTTTCATTTTCCAATGACCTTCCCTTTTTTAATTTCCCCTCGCTGATCCTGTTCTTTTTTTGATATAATAAAGGTATTTGCATGTTCATCCTTTTACTTGTCTCTTATATGGGGATTTTAGTGAATTAGCGAATTTTATTATTTTTATCTGAAAATCCGTTTTTGTATGTTAATAATTTTAAAATATTTTTAAAAAATTGTATTTTTAATTTTCCAAATAATGTCCATATTTTAATGTGCCGTACGCATAGATGGTAATGTGAAGGGGACGACTTTTCTTTTTAGATACCCCCCCCCCTCTGTTTCCTATATTTGTGCCCACCCATTCCTAATAATAAAAGGTGCATTATCGGTTTAAGAAAAGTCCGAGTCGGGTCTGTATCACTTTTGTATATCTACCAGAGGTAGGTCGGAATTCCGATTTCCGACGTTTTTTCTACCAATTTCCAAAAAAAATTTTGATTTCCGATTTCTGAGTTCCGACTTTTGAGCCAGTTACAATTTCCTGCTCTTCCGATTTCCGACACCTCTGACTGTTCCGATCCACCTCTGATATCTACCACAGCCCATCCTTACCTTTTTTATTATTCACTGAATGTATCTAGAATCTAGATATTAAAGTATCTATTTTTGTTTTACAAAATTTACCTCGATTAATTAAAAATTTTTATTTTTATTCTAAAAATATTTATTTTCCAATTTCCTCACAAATTTTATTCCTTATTTAAACGACTTTTCCGAATATTTCCAATATTCTCGACAGTCTTATCCTCTTAAATCCAAAACAAATTTTAACTACAAAATAAGTCCCATAATAATTTCCCTAAACCTTTACACTTTCCTTTTCTTTCCCTTCCATTTTGGCAATATTGTTTGGCTTATTTCCTTTTATTTTTCAATTGGTCACGCACTTGGTCACAAAATAAAGTGGCAATAAAAATAAAAATAAATCTCTCTTTATTTTGAAAATAAAAGAGAAAAACACTCAAAATTTGACAAAATTAACAAGAATAAATTTGCATTTTAAAAATAATAATTTAAAAATTTAAAACACGAAAATAAGTTAATATGGGTATTAGAAAAAAATTCTTTATAGAGATGTTTCTGCAACCTTTTCAGCATTTTTGGCAGCTGAAACTTTGAGTTTTAATTGCTTGAATAAATTGTTGATAAGTAAGGCCTGTAAATAGAAATTTTAGGAAATTATTATTTTAATCGAAAATACAGTAAAATGAAATTTCTAAAGTTAGGATTTTTCTACTCGGTCTGACCCACAACCCTAAGCTAGGGTACGGTAAAATAAACGTGTGAGTTCCTTTCACACTATAAGGATCATCCTTCCCTTCAGGGGCAAAAAACTTCAATTTTCCATTCACATATTTTCCAAAAAAAAATTTCAAAAATCATTTCTTTACAATTAAATATTTGAATTCATAAAAACACCAATTTTAAGCCAGAATCCCCAATCCTCGTCAAACCTTATGTAATTGCTTTGCCCCCACCTCCATAATTTCCCCATATGTGGCCCTTTCCCCTATAATTTCCCTGTCATTCGTGACCACTGTTCAGTCAACTATCCGAATAAAAAGAGTAAATACAAGGAAAGGCTCATGCCCTGTCTCCATAGCCAATTTTACAGCAGATTGAGCCATCCAATTTTGGAAAGATGTAAGTGTGCCGTACACACTAGAGGGGTAAGGGCAGCTGTTTCTATCATTTTTACCTCTTCTTTTATTTCCCTTCCGGTTTTATTTTATCCGTTCTCAGATCCTTTTTACTCATTTCTGTTCATTTTCCTCCCATAATTCTTCCCAAATGCAATTTAATATATCTTCCCATCACCTGTTCAGTAAAAACATTGACGACACACTTTTTTGCTTGTTTTTCTTTCATTTTTTAGTCATTTTTATTTTTTAAAATTTTCAAAAATATTTTAAAATTTGTCTAGCATGTTCAATTCTTTATTTTATATTTTATTCATAAAATGAATTTGGAGCCCTAGCCCCACAAAGAATCTTACATTTCTTGAGCATTTGATCCTTACTTTAGAATAGAGGATCATAAAAGACTGATAAAGAAGTTCTTTAAGACTCTCAATGGTGTGGTGATAGGTGCGAATTTTATTAGTGGGAAACCATTAACTCTCCATTAATATAAAGGGGAAATAGAATGTCCTCAGTCATTTATCTTAATCCTTTCTAAATCGCATTATTAATTCAATATGAGTTTTGATAATATATCTGCTCGCCTTCTCACCTATCCCTATTCTATATCCTTTCACTTTCCAATGGTCAAAAATAATTTTCGTCAGTGATTTTCTCTCCCGCCGCGCAGAATTTAAAAAAAATATATTTTTACAATGAACTTTTTCAAACACCCTCCCCCCCCCTTCACAACTTTCCCCTCTTTCAGCTTTTCGTTTCTTTCCTCTTCATTGTTCTCCAAAAATATATGTATTATGCCTTTTCTTCTTATTGTCAAAATATTATTATTATTGTTATCCCCCTCCCTAAACTAAAAAGAAGCCCTTTTCCCTCCCTGCATATATCCCCTCTCCTCTGTCCCTCAACCTACCCCCCCCCCCCTTTCCCCTTTTCATTGTCCAATTCCTTTTCAACTTATTTCCCAAATTTTCTTCACATTTTTCTTTATAAATATTTTCCCAAATTTTTTGAAGAGATTTTATTCATATATTTAATATTATGTATATACATTAGGCTAATTGGCTACCAAACTCGGTCGTCCGCAACAGAAAGAAACAACAACAATTTTTTTCTTTTTTTCTCAAAACTCTTTCCTTCCCCTTTTTTAATCTTACAAATCAAGGTAACAAGCAGATACACAAAAACAAACAAATAAACGAATTCACCTCAATCAACCCCTTTCAAGGTCATTATAGGGAAATAAATTAATTTCTGAGGCTAATAGGATGTTCAAAAATTTAGGCAACTTATTGAGTAAAGGAGTTTTAAAGAAAAATTTTCATGAGTTCAATTAAAAATTATTGAATAGCTACATATTTCCGATCTCAGGGATTGCTTACTATAAAGGAATTCTCTCAAATCCTCTCTCAACAAGAAAATTCGGGAGCAGGCCAATGTACCGCAGGCCCAAGGCTGTGTTCAGAAATGTCGAATCCGGGACGCCCTGGCATAGTTCGATTCGGCACGCCGAGGCGCTCGAACCATACTAGGGCGTCCCAGATTCGACAATTCTGAACGAAGTTACAACTCTGCTACCTTGAGCCTGCGGTACCTTGGGGTGTACCCAAAAAATTCTTACGAAACGCTCTCAATAACGGGGTTTTTTAAAGATTCTCCAAAAAATAAAATTAGTAAAATAATTATTCACTTGAGGTGTAGTAATTGTAGCAACAAAATCAGCAGATTTACACCCTCCTTCCCCTTGAACTTCCAAAAAATTTGTGTTTGGAGTAAATTTAATTTCCAATTTGTTTAGTTCGATAGCTGCTATTTGTCTATGGCTATTTGAATTTAATACAGACATTCCCCAATCATTTAAGCCAACATGTACTTGAATGCTGCCGCGGATAGGCTAAAAAATTTTAAAAATTTTCTTTTTTAAGAGATTTATTTTATAGTTTATTATTTTTAAATTATTTCGGATATAGTTTAGTCAAGGGCCCGCTCCAAACCGGGTCAAAACATATGTCATTCGATTCGTCTCGGCGAGCTGAGTCGAATGGTACCACTCCCTAAGTGCGGAAATGCCTGTGGACCGAGATATAGGTCCCTGAAATTTGAAGAACCATAGAGGGGAGTAAGCTAAATTACGGGTTGAAAAATTCGATTTTTCAAATGATAGCTCATTCGAAAGAGCTCCTCGAGCTGAGTCAAATGACACCAAAATGAGCTCGAGATCTTGATTTAGAGCCTAGATAAAGAGGTTCAAAATGGTCAACATAACCCTATGGAGCGTCGGCAAGGCGCTTGTGCAACACCCCGCGCTTCGCGTGGGGTTTTGCGGCACGCGCCTCGCGGGGAGTCTACGGGCGCTGGGTCTGGGCTCGTAACTTAATCCTATTCATATTATCGCTGGAGTGGGCTTGCCCGGTTTCCTCCGCAGCAGCAACCACTCAACGGATGGCATAGGTAAGGAGCTAAAACAAACAGTCATAACTTTCTCAAATCAAGTCTGATTTTGCTGATTTTGGTGTCATTCGACTCGGCTCGAGGAGCTCTTTCGAATGAACTATCATTTGTATATTCGAATTTTTTATCCAAAATTCGCCCTTGTAGTTCTTTAATTTTCAGAGGTCTGTATTTCGGTCTAATCAAATCAGATTTCGTTGATTTTGGTGTCATTCGACTCAGCTCGATGAGCTCTTTCGAATGAGCTATCACACTGAAAATCGAATTTTTCACCCCAAAATTGTGCTTACTCCCCCCTATGGTTTTTCGATTTTCGCGGACCTATATCTCGGCCCACAGGCATTTCCGCACTCATGGAGTGGTACCATTCGACTCAGCTCGCCGAGACGAATCGAATGACATATGTTTCGACCCGGTTTGGAGCGGGCCCTCGACTAAACTACAGCCATTATTTCTTTTTAATCCAAATCCATGCCTATTCTCAAGATAAATCCTAGAATATCTTCAGAATAACCCGAATACTATACTATCCCTGTTTTGCCATTACTTGCAAGCAGAGATGGGTCGGAATTCCGATTTCCGAAAAAAAATTTTGATTTCCAATTTCCAAGTTCCGACTTTTGAGCCAGTTCCGATTTCCGGCTCTTCCGATTTCCGACATCTCTGACTGTTCCGACCCACCTCTGCTTACAAGGAATAAAAATCAGTTGTGCTCTGGTTAGCTTTTACAATGGTTCTATTCCATATTTTATTCTATGAATTCCCCAAAAGTTATTCCTGGCAATTAAAAGCATCTAAGTCTTTTTCTTCAAAACAGTTAATTCGCTTTATCTTCTTTGATATCCTGTCCTCCCAAAATTCTCATACCGTATTCTATCAAAAATCTGACCCAAGAAAATTTTTTATGTCAAAATTTTCTTAAAGATTTCATCCAAAGATTCACCCCTGATTCACATTTTCTCCTTTATCTCATTCCTGAAAATTCACCTCTTTCCTCCCTCATCCTTTAAAAGGAAAACACTTTAAAAAGGAAAAAGGCCAAGGATTTCTACGCCCCAATGAAAGTGAATGAATAGAATTAAAAAAAGAAAATAACAACAAAAAAAGTACTTTTTTCCTTCCAAAACTTCCCTCATTCATTAATTCATTTTCATTCTTCCATACTTCCTTTCACCACTCAAACGTGGGAATTTGCCATAGAGGACTGACTGACCGGAAATTCTCTCCCCTTCATTTTCTTTCTAAATTTATTGGCAAAACTTTTCTGTTGTATTTTAACTAAAAATTTGGGTTTTTTTGAATATAGCCCGGGATTAACAGAATAAATTTAAAAACATCAAAATGCCAAAATACACTAGATCTCGTGAGACAGGAAAGAGCCCACCCCTGCTGTCCCTGGGTGGATAAGAACAATCCCCCTACTAATTAACTGGTGGAACAGCACATTCTGTGTACAATCTCAGTGATATATACTGAAACTTTATGATAACAAACGGGCACTCCGGGTGCACGCAACTAAAAAAAATTTTCCTTAGCCACAATCCGCAATTTTAAATTTAAAATCCCCCCTACTCGCAATTCAAACAATCTGCAATTACATGCAGCCCGGCTCCTAATTGGAGGTTCTCCTTGGAAAAAGATTCGTTGTACCTTTAGCATACCTACATTTATATTTCAGTTATACCAAATCCCTTACCACATTGACCATTTATTCAAAATTTTGCGAAACGCCCGAATTTAAATGTCAATTCCCTTCAATTTTACTATATTTAATATTTAATTTGCCAAGCTAATATAAAATCCCCCTCATAACATTTCATTCCATTTTTTAATAAAAATTTTCTCGCCTTGGCCATAAGCATAAAAGCACGAAAAAAAGTACAGCCGTAAACATTGAGTGACCAACACAATGAAAGAAAACGTAATTGTAGTTGTATTAGGCTTAGATTAGTAAGAGAATTACGTGCTTGTTTGAGTTTTGAAAGTAATGAAGAAAATGGTTTAATTTCCGTTGTTTGTGGTACTAAATAAGAGGGTAAAATGCGTGACAGGAAACGAGTGCTAAAAAAAGAAAAATAAATTTAATAAAAAAAATTGAGGAAAAATTGTGGATTGGGAACTACAATGGGAGAATATTTTAATAATTAATTAAGGAATTTTTAAAAATCTGTAAAGGCTAGACTCGGCAAAATAGATTTTGACGGAACCGGATCCGGATTTTGACTGGAATCCGGTCCGTCGCCGGGCACTAGTAGAGACTTTCTAATGATTTTTATGACTTCTGATAATTAGACTGGACTCAGACCGAACTTTTTGTGAAGAAAAGAGTTCTAATCAGGGTTGTCTGCAATCGAAAAAATTTTTTAAGCAGCCACAATCCGCAATTTAATTTTTAGAATTTACAGCAAAAATTCACTGTTTCTTCAATTAATTAATTATTTAATCTTATTCTCTCCCTATATTTATTTTTTACTTGTTTTTGTAGCTTTTTATTCCGAATTATCACCTAATAATAACTTTAAAAAACCTTTAATTTATTTAAATTTAATTTATTATTTCTTACAATTTTTTTTCTTTTTTCTCAATTCTCCTTACTTGGTAGTTAGCCTTTTCGATAATAACACCTTCAAGGACCATTAGGTTTACGCGATACGCGCGATTTGGCAGAATAACCCCCCAAAAAAGAGAAGTATACCTATTCCTCTTCCTTTTTTTCAAATCCATAAAAACAAGTATTAAAATATATATAACTAATAATTTTTGTATGCAAAAAATCCCTCCCTTCTTTCCCTCCTCTAATCCCCCCCTTACATAACTTCTTCCCCTTCCCTTACTACTCTTTGACTTTCAACAACTCCGGAAAAGAAGCAATTACTGAAAACTTCCTATATTTATTTTCCTTTTTTAAACCTTCTCTTTCCTATATTTTGTTTAAAATAGCCTTAAAATTGCTTAAAAAAGCAATAAAAATGTTGAGAATTGACGTTTTAAGGATATTCCTTAGACTTTTCTTTTTTATTATTTTTAAGTCTTTCTATTGACCAACTAGCATTATTTATATAATATCCATAATTAAAGTCAAGTTTTTTTCAAAATCCGCATCCAAATTTGCGCAATCCGCATTTTCGGACAGTGCTAGTTCAATCTAGGTTTAGCACGCCAAAGAAATCTTGTCAAAAATTGTCTGAAATACTGATTGAGGTTCTTTGCTTGTTGCGGACAAAAAATCATCTATTTGTATTTCTTCTAATAGTGCGACCGGTCGGTTTTTCATTCTTGTTATTCTTAAAATCTCTAGAGGGTGGTTTATTAGAAGGGGTGAAAAATCCTTTCTTTTTAAAAATTTTGTAAAATGATGGTCTAAGAGAGAGTTCGCACTATTAGAAGAAATACGGTATTTGTATTTATCATTAGTTTAAAGGTTGTTCTGAATAGGGATTAAATCTAGTTCAAAAAATTCCTGTTATCAAAATCGAGATTTTTCGAGATACCTATTTTGAATCTTGATCGTTCTTAAACTTCGGTCTTTACTCTAAAAGAATCACCTCTACTCAAAAATTTATTTAAAAAATAATTATTCAAAAATTAAAATTTTTGTTGATTATTCTGTGAATTTGCCCATTTTTAGACAAATCTCTACTTACTTTCCCCAAAAAAATTTTTTGCCCATCTTTGTCTAATACTTTTTTTATTGTTTGAAAGCACATTTGTATTTAACTTAGCTTTTTCCCAGTCATTCACCACAAAACACTTTATTCAATTCAAAAAAAATACAAAAGTCGACTACTTTCTTCTGGCATTTTTTTAATATTTTTATGTTAATATGAAAGTTTTTTGGTGATTTTTTTGGTAGAAAAATTGTTTATTTATCTAATATTCTGTACAAAGCAAAATATATGAATTTTTTATAAAGGAATTTTCTTAAAAAAATTTTTTTGCCTTCTTCAGAAAGGGAGTGAAATAAGACTGTGGAAGATTTCCGGTTTTGAAATAAGATTACATTTGAATTATAGAGATTGAAATATCTAGGAGAAATCTGTCATATCTAGAAGGATGTCCTAGGAAAGATCCTAAATCCTTACTAGGAAAGATTGTAAGGTGTCCGACCTATAAACGGTCGAGACCGGACTCATTCGATAGAGAATGCGTCCTTTCTAGAAAGGATTTTGAGCCGTTTTTGCCCTTTTTTGATCTGGCCAAGATATGGCCTTCCAAAGTCCCAAAATTTGGCATATCCAAATATAAACTTTAAATAATGCGTTGATTTTGTTAGCGTTGTGGTGTAATGTCTATCGAATGAGCCCGTTCTCGATCGTTTTTAGGTCGGACACCTCGCAACCTTTCCTAGTTAATATTCTTCAATAAACCTCTCTCTTCATTTCTCAATATTTTCTTTAAAATCCCTCAAATACCTACAAATCCTTAACCCGCGCACATTCTCAAAAACCTATTTTGTTGCAACAATTGTTCCTTCTTCGATTCGAGAAGAATATTTTTAAATCGGTTGTCAGGTAAGTATATTTTTATTTAAATTCCAAAACAACCTCCCTCCCCCCCCCTCCCTCCCTCCTCCCTCTTTTATTCTTTTCAACAAATCTCTCATTCCTTCCTCTCTTCCCTCCCTCCCCTCAATTTCCTTCTTTTTGTTATATGCCAGGCCCATTATCTCATCCATTTGGATACTTACTAACCTAAAATAAAGAGAGTGTTTTCCTTTCTTTATTTTCTTTTGCCAATTTCCGCGCAGCTAAACTCAGAAAACAATATTGGCAGTATTTTTGGACTAATTACTAGAGGCCGGATTTTTGGTTACAACTTATTTTTCTTGAAATAATGTTTTTATTTTATTTTCTTATTGCTTCTATCGACATCCTTGACATATCCTAGATCCCCCTTTAATATTCCAAGTTGTTAAGGAATCACGGGGTCACTCATGTCATATCCCTTGTTGGTCCACTTGTGGAAAGAAGAAAATCCACATTCACCTTATTACTTATCGCCTAAAATTCAGCCATAGAATGAAGATAAAAATTCCAGCCAAACTTACTCAATATTTTGAGGCAATTCTGATCCATATAACCTTTGCGAAACAATAGCAGCCATTAGAATATAATGCTTCTCATGACAGGGAAGCATACCTTTCAGAAACTGGCCTTCTGCTTCTCCATATAACAAAGAAACAATGAAATGACTTTTACGAGCCTGAAAAAATATTTTTTTATTTACATAAAATTAAAAAAATGTTTTTAAAGGAAAGTCAGTCTCTGTTTTGCTGGAATTTTTTCGGTTTTAAGCCTAAAAGCTTTATTAAGATTTCTAGGGTTAGAAGACTATCCTTCTAAAAAGAACAAAGAATTCTGTAATTTAGGGTAGCTCCCCGTCCCTCGTACTCCGACGGTTTTATTGGCAAAAACCCCACCCGAACCCCGAAGGGTTCCCCGAAGGCTCAGGGGGCTACTCTACTTTACTTGAATGAATCCTTTATTTCATATTTTTTAATTAAATTTTAATTAATTTATTTTTTTAATTTAAAATAATTTTTCTTGCAAATTTTTCAATTAAAGAAAAGACAAATTTATTATTTATTTATTTTAATTTTATCCCCAAAAGAACAGCTACCTACTATTATTAGTCAGTCACCCATTTTTCATTCTTTTATTATTTGCACCTTTAAGCTTTAATTTCTTTTCATTTTCTCATTTTGTTTACATTCATCCTCCTATTTTTTTGACCATTTTTAGTTACCCGTCGTCCATTTTTGTGCTCCAATTTCTTTTTTTTTAATTTTCTTCTACCTCACCCAAGACTGAGAGACGTTTAGGCGCATGGGGCATATCCTTATAAAATTTCCAAATGAGAACCTAGAACCACAAAATTTTGTTTATTTATCTCTAATTGTGTCATTTACTTTCTCTAAAAATTTCAGAATTTTTAGTTGAATATTTGGGCAGTTATAGTCTAAAATGTCACATTTTTAGAAGAAATTTCAATTTTCTTCAAGTTTTTGACCAGAACTTTGAAAATATTTAACCAAAAATTCTGAAAATTTTAGAGAAGCTAGAAGACATTATAAGGGTTATAATTGGGGAATTTCAAGAATACAAGTCTTTGACAGCCTATCCTTTTCTAAGTTTGCGTCAACCCTTTCCTGCGCCGAAACGTGTATTCTCTCCCTTCCTCTCTCTCTCATTTCCCTCTCCCTTCAAAATTTCTCCACCTTCATTTTTCTTCATTCACGCCCCCCATTTTCCTTCATTTTTCCCATTCCATAAATTAACTGTCCTTCCCTTAACCCCCTTTTTTCATTCCTTCAATTTCGCCAGAGGCGCGAATTTCGGCGGATTATCAATTTCCTCATCGCTAATCCCTTTCTAATTTTCTAATACTTAAATTGCCAGAACTTTTATATACTTTTAAAGCCCCCAAAGGCTTTTTCCCACTGGCCAAGAGGAAAAGAAGAATTTCTAAAAAAACTTTTCCCTCTCTCAATTCATTCCAATGGTTACCAAAATTATTTTTATTAAACAACAAATTTTTAATATTTTTATTCAAAAATATTTACAACAATACAGCCTATTTTTGTTTATTTTATTTTTGGTTAAAATACCAGAAAATGGTCAGATTTTGGATTAAATAAAAATAAAAATTGTTTTAGCATTAGCCTTTGATTGCATTCAATGCGATCGACAAGCTCTTTGGTATTCCCCCGAAGAAAATGAAAGGCACATTTCCCGATGCCAGAAAGGGCTTATTCCTTCTACTAAATGTATGAATTCATCACATACACACTGCATTTACAGTTATTATAGACAATCTGGAGGTGAGGAATTTTTCGGGAATTCTTTTGATCCTAAAATTCTTTTGAATAATTTATTTTTATTAAAAATATTCGTGATTCTCTATTCCAAAAAATTGAACTTTCCACGGTTCATAAATTAGGACGGCTCCAGAATATCGGTTCCTGAAACATATACATACCTACATTGAGAAAATAAAGGGGATAAGTCAGATATAATTTGACAAGGACGTAGGATCAGGTGGATTTGAGGATGATTTTTGATAAACTTTTCTGATAATCCAACATTCCAAACTTTTCCTTTTTTCATGTTTAAGAAATTTTTTTCATCTCATCCTAGGGTTGTCAATTCTTGGAAAATCTTATTTGGAATCTAACCCAAGAGACAAGCCGAAAAATACTCAGTCAACCACTAGATTTTCTTCTTAATTACTATTAATCATTTTCATTTTTCTTATCAAACCCTCATTTGTCCATTAAAAATAACTAATTTAGATCCCTTTTAAGAAAGTTACAAAAATCTAAAAAATAATCAACAAAGGTATATTTAGTGATAACAGTGACTGAAAGAAGGTGTGGGACTGTTGAAGAGATCAGTGGATGTACACTTTACAAATCACTTAGACGGGCAAAACGGCACTTTATTGGAGGCACAGGAACAGATATTAATGTCGGGAATTCACCTGCTAGCCATCGACGAAGAGAAACTGGCCCTCTTGTTGTTGAGGTAAATTAAGGGAAGAAAATGGGATGAAATGTCCTTTTTAGGTTTGCACAAGTGGATGTCAGGAAGATGGATGTGTTTCTGGAGGAATTAGACAAAAATATGGGGAATGGACAGTTTTGGGATTTTTGTTAACAACAATTTTGGTTTTGAGATATTTTAACGAGGAAGAGATGATTATGGAAAGGAGAAGGAAGTGAATTATTAATTTAGAAGGGATTTTATTTTAATTAATTAATTATAATTGCTTTAATTTTTATTTTAATTATTTTCTCAGAAAAATTTTTTTTGATTTTTACAAAATTTGTGTCTTTATATTAGGGAGTGGTATGGAGTGGGTTACTAGAGGAAAATTTCTTATCGGAAAATTTCTTCAGTAGAAAATTCCTAACTCTACTCGATGAGGGTAACCTGGAGCCATATGTAGTAGTCCTTGAGATAATTTAAGATTACAGAATTCGGTGTGCCCATACAGAGACAAACTGACATCAATTTTTTAGCTTTTGGACTTTATTTCAAACCAAAATTTATCAGATAAAACTCACAAGCATCTGTTCATCACCCAAAAGTGTCCTCGCATCCCTCTTTAACACAACATGAACTCTTTCCTCTTCAAAACTTTTCGGTAAATATTCTTCTTCTAATTCACTTCCAAATTTATTTAAGTGTTCTTCCCATTTATTGAGGTGAATTTGAACTTTTTGTTCGGCTTTTAATTGTAGACCTTTTAGAAAAAAGTTTTTGAGAAAATTAGAAACTAGTCAGCCTTTTTGTTAGAAAGAATACAGTATGAATGTAATCTAATCCCCCTTTATTTTCCCTCATTTAAGACAAGCTTCCTGGGATTGTCATGGATTCGGAAGAAATGATAGACAAAAATTATACAAAAATGGATGATAATTTATAAATTATTTCCCAGTTGTCACACTCCCCAAAATGGGAGCAGGTCAACGTACCGCAGAGCTATAAATTCGTTCAAAATAGTCAAATCCGGGATGCCTTGATTGATCCCGGATTCGACCATTTTGAACGAAGTTTTAGCTCTGCGGTATGTTGACCTCGCGGTACGTTAGGGTGTACCCCCAAGATATCCCTAAATGTTACTGTCCCAAACTTCATGATAATCTAAGGAAACGCTTACTAAGTCTAGAGTCAACCAGCCAAATAGCAAAAATCTGTTCGGCATTTGCTGATAACGGATGTTTTAATCCTTCCATTTCTAACACTTTAGTTCTCAATTCTCCAGCTGTTGCATTATCAATATCGTCTACCTCAACTTGTAAAGAAGATCCGCCAACAATTTGGACTTCCATTTTGGTAGGGCGAAGGATGTCGCTTTGACGGAGTAGAAAAGCAACGCCTTGCCAATCTGGTTTCGGTACAGGCGCGCAAAGGTCCAAAGGTGTTTTGCCGTTAGAATCCCGAATACTCTAAAATTGTTAAATTTGTACAAGTTGAGAGTGGTACAGCCTGCAGCATCCTATCCTATTTTAATTTTTAACCCCAATCTATTTACGGAATCCCTGTATTGCGATGTTATCGAGCTCTATCCTAGACTCACAATATCAGCAAATTGATGAGATAATATCAATTCGGCAACATATACATGCCCATTAAGTGCAGCAAAATGTAAAGGTGTAGCACCTGTTCTATTAGTTATATTAACATCCATATCTGGATGTAATAAGAGAACTTGACAAGCTTCAAGTCTGTTATAGAAAGCACAATAGTGTAAAGGTGTCCAAAAATCATTGTCTAATTCGTTTGGATCTGAGCCTTGTCTGAGCAATTCTCTGAAAAAATTTTAATATTTTAAAAATTGTTTCAAGTAAGGGAGAAGAATTTTGGGTTAACCCCTTTCCTGATTAGAGATGAATTTCGGTAATTTCAGCAGATTAATTTTCACAATATAATGTGAAAATTAAACACCCAATTTCATTCGAAAAGTTATACTAATATTAGTTTTCCCCCTCTCTCATTTTCCAAAACAATCTCTCTCTCGAAAATATCCTCTCATTGTTCTTGACTCACACAATCATCCCCATCACCTTCTAAATTTTCTCCTACTAGTTCGAGGTTTTCGAAATTTCCTAACCTAATTTTCTCTGCATTTCCATCAAAAGCATATTTATGTAAAGGATGTTGTTGTTCCCAAAACGCTGTTGGTGAGCGTTGTTGCCTAATCCCTTTATGAGATATACCATAATCTGTACTTCGACGTTGTCTTTTTGGAGCAATATCGCGCCGTTTTCCTCTTACAAAATATTCGGGCGCCTAAATTATTTTTGAGTTTATGTTAATTAACTTTTTAATTAACTTTAATTAACTTTTATTATGTTAATTAACTATTTATGTTAATTAACTTTTACTAATTTTTGAAAATAGGGGAAATACGCTTAAAAGATTAGCTAATACTCAACCCCGTTTTGTTAATTCCACGTTCACCTGTTTTTCATTCCAGTCCTCGTGAGATAGCTGGCTGATCCTAATATATGGGTTAGGAAAAAACAGAACACTTGTAAATTTTTCCGTGGATATCGGATTCGGATATCCGAAGATTTCCTAGGTTTCGCAACCTTCCTGTGAGATGTAATATCCTATCACAAGCCTGATCTATTGAAAAAGGCCCTGAATAAGATCTAGATCTTTCAAATTTTCATCCTTACCGTTGCTTTCCTCTTTGTTAGTATATCAATTCCAAAGAGAGGATTAACAAAAAGTTGTTCGTTATTATTCATTCTTTCTTGTTGTTTTATTATTTTATTATTAAATGTTTCAATTTTTAATTCAATATTAGTAATTGAAGATATTTGTTCTATCTTTTGTTTTTGTAATATTCCTTCTCCTTCATTTTCTTTTTCTAGACTTATTGTTCTGAAAGGATATGATTATAAAAATACATATATCTTTCTGTCCTAATTTAGGTGAAGAATTCGACTTCTATTGGAAGATGGGAGAGAGTTGATTCAAGGGGGGGGGGGTTCTGTCGTTTACTGGATGATTCTCCAATAGAGATCATCCCATTGCTCACCTCCCTCCAATAAAGGCTAAATCTATCAGAGTAGAGAGCGTCTATTGAAGATGAACTTCCATTTTTCAAAGTTAAAAAATTCTCCTACCTTTGGCAACTAGCAAGTCTCAAAGAAGACCTCTCATTAGTTTCATTAGAAAGAGCACTATGAAGTAATGTTCTCTTCGCACTACTACTGGGCATAAGGAACAATGAATGCAAAAATCCAGAGCCAGATTTACATTGCCCAGAACTTAGCCATTCCCCAATTCTAACAAGTAAATTTTGTGATGAAGGTTCTACCAAAGAAGAGTCGTAATTCATTGCTGCATGTAAAACAGTGGCAAAGGGGCAAAATTCAAGTCCTGAGCTAACCACTGGAAAAGGGCTTTTCGTAGAAGGAATTATTGGAATGAAAAGAAGGGGAGGAAGTTGTTGTTGTAGAGGGGTTAGAGGTGGTGAGGGATGTGAAATTGAAGATTCAGGCCTTTCCAAGTGGTCTGAACGTGATGGAGGGATGTGGACGGCTTTGGTGAGAAATTGACTGAAATTTACGCGAAATTTATTAGAATTACACATAAGTCAAGATTTAGGGAAAAATTTGGTTTATTAATGCACCTGGGAGTGTCGGGACAACTTAAGGTCAGGAAGTCACGGTTTGGCAAATATTTTTTGACCCGAAACTCGATCAGAAAATTTTTTGAAAACCCGAGCTATCCAAGAATTTTGGTCTCAAGCACCCTCAATAAATACAAAATAAAAAATGTCACATACAACATAACCCTCAACAAAAAATGGACAAAAATTTTCTGTATCACAAGAACGAGTCCACAAAAATTAATATTTTGGATTCTTTACTTATATTTTCATAAGAAAATTAAAACAAATTACCAACATATCTAAATCCCCAACAAATCTCAAAGCAGCATCTGCCGCCCTCTCCCCAGGCAGAGGCCAACAACGGGGTAATTCAACTGTTTGTTGTTCAATCTGTACTTGGGATGAAGAACAAGGTCCACATTCAAATAAAGGGGGAGGCGGGACGGCCATTAAAATATCAAAATCTGCCGGGCCGAAAAATTCGTCGCCCTCAAAATTTTGTTGTTTTTGTCTCTGAGATTTTATTTTTTCTAGTTGAGATAAAGCTTCTGGCCTTATTCTAACAACGGCTATACAACATTCCAAAACCATATTAATTAATAAAAAATAAATTAATTTTTTGTAAAGCTTAAGAAAAAAAATATTTGTTAAAATTTTTAAATAGAAGAAAAAAATTTTGATTGAATTGTGAGATTGGTAATTATTTTAAGTTTAATTAGCGTATTTACTCTATTAATTCCCCTGGGGAATTATTTTTTCAACCCATTCGTGGCATGGGAGGGGAATTATTCGAGTTTTGAAATTTGAACGTGTAGTAGGGTATTTAGGGGAGGGGGATTATTGTTTCAACTCATCCGTAGCAAGGGGAATTATTCGAGAGATGAATTATTTGAGGGAGGGGAATTAATCAAGTATATACGGTATTGTAAGCTATTTTCGAAAATATTTCTAATAAAAAATTCCAAAATTTTAATAAAAATTTTATTTAAAAATAAAAGACGACAGATAAAGCTCGAAAAAAGAAAGAGAACTACGATGTAATGTCCCCTTCGCATTACTAGTAGTGTGAAGAGAACAAAATGGTTTTCCTAATTTTTTCCTAATTTTGTCTCTTATATTAATCTAGAAATTCTACTGCATTATATTTACCAAAAATTTAAAAAATTCTGATAATTTCCCAATTTCTAGATTTTGTTTAGACAAAATGTGAAAGAATGTACAATTGCAAAAGAGAGATAAAACCGGGAAAGACCGTTAATGTCTAATTGATATTTTTTATTTTTTAAAATTTGATAAAAGGTTTAAAAATATGCATAGAAAAATAAATAAACTTTTCCCTTTAAATTAGAAAAAAATAAAATTTGAAAACATTAAAAAATTTAATTTAAAATGTTCTTCTTTGCTCGCAACTTTAATTTAAAAAAATATACTTTTAAAAAGGCGTGTGAAATTAAAACAATTTTTTTATTCTTCTCTTTTTTCAATTTAATTACTAGTTTTGTTAATTTTATTAATTAAAAAAGGGCGTGGTAAATTTTGAGAAAAAAATTATTTTTTGGCTTGATTATCATGCGATAAGGGGGAAAATAAAAGAAAATAATAAAAATTGAGAAAATGAGAGAGGAAAACTGATGAATTGTTCGCAATCAGTTGCTTTGGGGAGGTTTGGGGGGGAGGTTTGGGGGGGGGGGGTGTACGAAGAAAAGGAGGAAACACAGAAAAAAATTTTTGGGTGTGGTTAACACAAAACGTGGTGCGAGCGGCGGAAGGGGGAAACAAAAGGGGAAGGGGGTAAAAATAAAAAAAAATTGAAAGGAAAATGAAAAGGAAAAAAAAGAAAGCCTTTAAACATTTTTTACTTAACGGCTGGAGGGAAAGGACTGTCGAGAATACTCAGAGCAGCGATCAATGTATAATTTTCTGCTACAGTCAAACCTTTTGGGGTTAAAGGGGTTTGACTCTCGGGCGTTAAAAAATGCATTCTATACTGAAAGATATCTTAAATAGAGAGAGTATCGCTTAAGCAGCCCCTCCGTGGCCAACCAAATTTCAAAAATTATATTCTAAGGTACAAATAAGAAGTAAAAATAGGGAGGTCAGACTATATAGGTACAAAATATCAGCTGTATTTTTTGTTGTTTAAACAACTTTACTTTATTTTTATTAAGAAATTTGAAGGAGATAATTAAAAGATTATCTGTAGAGGCTCCTCGCTTTACTAGTCAAGGAAAGAGTACTTGACTGCCTCACAACTCAAGAACTGATAAAACTCTTGAGGAGCTTTTAATAATTTTTATAAAGGATTAAATTTACTATTGAAAACCATAAAATCAGAATTTTTAGTTATAGGGATAAAAAAGTTATAGTTTAGAAACTAACATTTTAAACGAATTTTCGAGGTTTTTAACCCAACTTTTTCTGTTAGTTAACCAAAAAACTCCGATTTTAAGATCTTTTTCTAGTCTGTAAACTCATAATTTAGTGTTTTTCACTGTAAAAACAATTAGTACCCGGATGAGAAGAAAGTCTATTACTAACGCCCTCATGCGTAAAAGTCAGATTTTAAAGAAAAAACGAGTCGTGATTGAAAATTTAATTACTTAAAACAACAGATTTTCAAAAGTACGCGCGACTGATCGTGCAAATTTACTTATTTTTTTATTAATGGGAAAATTAATCGAGAGAAAATATTTTTAAATATACTCCTTTCTTTAATTGAAAAAAAATAAAATTACGTAAGAGGGTTGACTTTAAAAATTTATTAATGGTTGATTTAATTAAAGATATTTTAAATAAATTAGATATTTAAATTAAATCTCACTTTCTATTTTGTTTATTTAAACGTTTCAAAGGTAAACTGCAACAATTAACTACAATTTAATTCAAGGCTATGATATATGCGGATTTTTCCTCATTTTGTGGTTTTTTGATAGGGCGATGAGGATTATTTTTAAAAATGCGGATTTGCGGATTTTTGTGGGCATTTGAAGATTATAAGGATTTTTTCTATTTTCTTGTAGTTTTCAGTATAAAATGTCATTATTTTTTGGCTTCTTGGCCTTCCAAAATCCTCAAAATTTTTTGCCTGTGGCGCTGAAAAAGGCCGATTTTTCGAGTAAACAATTCACTATAACCTAGGGACAGTGAAAGCATTGGCTCAAGTCAACCGTAATTTTTCATTTAATTGTTCGGATTTTAATAAGGATAGTCATTAGTAGTGAAAAAATTGCTCAATTCAATTGTTGAAGTCAAAAAATATAACGCATAAAGTGATTTTAATTCAATTTTTGTGTTTGATAATTTTTTGCGGATTTTTGATATTAAATGCGGATTTTTTCGATCAAAATTGCGGATTTTTAAAAATTCGAGATCGAAGCCTAGATTTAATTAGAAAATTAAATTTCAAATTTAAAAAAAAATTCAAAAATTTTTAAATAAAAATAAACAGAATGCCAATTTTAAAAAATTTTAATTAATTTGGGTAGGGGATCATTGTGTACCGGCCGTTTGTGTACCTGGCCATATTTTAGGCCATAACTTTTTGGAGTTTCAACCAATTCGGATAAATCTTTTATCAATCGACAGCCCTGGATGTGAGGATTATTTTTGCCAACATGAGTTATTTGATCAAATCAACAAACAAAAAGTTACAGCCAGATAAAGATCAAAATCACGATTGCACGCATTTATCTGGCTGTAACTTTTTGTGTAATGATCTGATCAAATAATTCCTGTTGGCAAAAATAATCCTCACATCCAGGGCTTTCGATTGACATATAAAATATTTAAATCAATTAAGAATCGAAAAAGTTATGGCCCAAAACATGGCCACGTACACAAACGGCCGGTACACAAGTGGGACGTTCCGAATTAATTTCCATTAGAGTATCAGAAAAATAATTTCGATTTTCTATTCATTTTTGAGGTTATTGATGCGTTGTCCTTGTTAAATTTGAATGGCGATTGCAACTTTATCTTCAATAAATACCAAAAATGGACAAAAGAGACAACCAGATCCCAGGAGTTTTACTAGAATGTTGGAGGAATTGAAAGAGGTTTGTTTTGGTTTAATTTTAATCGACTAAATCAGGGAATATGATTCATTGCTTTCCAAAAATATTCAAAAATTTTTGTCTCGGCGCTAAAAATCAAAGGCTTTGTCGTAGTAATACAAAAATTTAGAATCGCGGATTTTTGGATTAGGGATTTTTTCGGGATTTCTCCCTCGGGATCCCGTTTCGGCATCGGTTAAGAAAAAATCTCGACTCGGGATACCGGAAGTGCGATTTTGCCGGCCATATCAATAAACAGGCAAAAACGGCTCAAAATCTTTGCTAGAAAGGGCACATTCTCTATCGAATGAGTCCGGTCTCGACCGTTTTTAGGGCGGACACCTCGCAACTCTCCTTGTTAGAAATGCTCTTTTTCCTCTCTCCCACCCATTGATTTTTCTGGTCACGGATTGAGTCTGTGCTCTTTAATAACTCTACTCTACTTATTTCTTTTTAAGTGTCAATGGTATTGGGGATCAATTTCGCCATCAACTGCCACAAAATTACTCAAAGGCTCTCAACCTGGGACATTTCTAGTTCGAGATTCTCGTTCTGACAATTCAATTTTTTCTTTTTCCTACTCAACAAACAACGGAATTTATCATACAAGAATCAACTGTTTCAATGGGCGTTTTTGTCTAGGAGGCCCGCGTTCTTTAATTGGAACTGAATCTTTACCTCAATTTATCAATGATATAATTGCGAATTGTTCTCCAGCTGTTAAAGACGCTTCTGAATTTTTACCTGAAGTTGGGGATGAAAATGAATTGAATAGTAGGCCTTTGAGAGTTTTAATGCATCCTCCTTTGCATACAAATCCAGTTTCTCAGCAAGTTGATATTCGGTTTGGATTTTTAATTATTCTCATTTTTGTTCAGAAGGTCAAAACCCTGGAGGTCAAATTATCTAAAGGTCAAATACAAATTTTGCGGATAAAGGTGACTCATGCTCAAGAATATGCTTGACTGCTTCCTTTTACATTAGCCGTCAGTTTCAACTAGAGTATTTCCGTCCTATGTCCCTTTATCCCTCTTAATCCCAACAAGTCCGTCTTAATCCGCCCAAATCCTTCGATATTCTCCTTAATACCCGCAAATCCCTCTTAATATGCACAAATTCCTATTTACATATCAGCCCAAAATAAGCATTTGCCATTCGGGTAATTTGACTTGGGTCTTGACCTTCTGGGTTGATCCCGGTAATAGTGTCGTTTCCAGTCCCCATTTTTTCCTCCCAATTTTTTACCCTATGTTTGTACGGAATGGTCAAATTTTCCCCTTTCTTTCATCAAATTTGCCCTTCCATATTTTGCCTAAAAACAATTAAAAAGATTAATTGTTTATTAAGTTGTTTCACAAGGAGAAACACCAAGCATGAAAAATGTTTTCTGGCTATTATAGAAGGAAAATGAAGTGCGGAAAATCACAAATTAATCTTTTTGACTGTTTTTAGGCAAAATATGGAAAGGCAAATTTGATGAAAGAAAGGGGAAAATTTGACCATTCCGTACAAACATAGGGTAAAAAATTGGGAGGAAAAAATGGGGACTGGAAACGACACTATTACCTTGATCCCTTCCAGATGATATTCTTTTTTTAATTCACATTCTTTAAATCATTTCTTTTCTATTAATTTAATAATTTCAGTTATCCTCTATGTAGAGATCAATTCGTTCCTTCACTTAAAGGTGCTTGCCGCTTCTCAATTCGGTTTTTTTTATTTTTGATATTTTTAACCTTGTTAATTCAAATTTAAGAAAGCAAATAACGGACACTTCCAAAATTCAACAATTGCCTTTGCCAAAAAAATTAAAGCAATACTTGATGTCATCTGATTATTTTATTTGTTTCTCCTGATTTTTATATTTTATGCAAAAAGGTTTATTTATTTTAGAATGTATTTTTTTATTTGTTAAAAAACCTTTTTGCACTAACAATAAACATTTTTCTTTAATATTTTTCTCAAATTTGGAATAAAATTTTTATTATGATGAGGCATTACATCAGGGCTCTCATTCGTGCTTTATTTGAAAGTATTATACTTTGAAACCGACCTCCATACTTAAGAAATTGAATTTATACTTTATTGAAAGTATATACTTTAAAATCAACATTTTGGATTGAAAATGAAATTGGGGAAGGGATTGGGCAAAAAAGTGAATTTTTTTAGCCTTGGGCCTTCGAAATTATCAAAATTTTCGCCTGCGGCGCTGAAAAAGAAAGAAATCTGGCTTCTTGGGCTCCAAATTTCAAAAAATTTTCGCCTGCGGCGCTGAAAATGGGAGAAATCTGACTACTTGGGCTCCAAATTTCAAAAAATTTTCGCCTGCGGCGCTGAAAATGGACGAAAGCTTGAGGTTAAGACTGTCAGGGCTTTATTTCTTGTATCAGCGAATTTTGACATGTCATGCGTTGAAATGCACAAAATGCCCAATGGAAGCAAGAAATTATTAGAAAAGATTCATTTAAGAGAGAAATATAAAAGATTTGAGCACGAACAAATATTTTCCAATTTAATTTTGAGTATACTTTAAATTTGGAAATTTTCTCCCTATATACTTTTTTATCAAGATTTTGATACTTTTGAGTGGCATTTTGTCGATGAGAGCCCTGCATTACATTCTTGTTTTGTCAAATTATTAAATTACTTTTAATATATTTCGGCTCTACTCCAGTTTATGCGTCCAATCGACTTTTATGCGTCCAATGAAAGTTTATGCGTCCAATAAAAAGAAAATTGGATTTTTCTTGGTATTGTAAAGTTGGGGTATGGCTCCAAACCATTTCTTCATGTTCGGGACCTACGTCCACTGGGTCTGGGACCGTTCCTTACCCGACCCCTCGAAATCTCTGAAAGTTATAATCGTTTTTCTGAAATTTTAAAAAATTGGCTGTAACTTTAAAAAAATTCGAGGTATAGGGTAAGGAATGGTCCCAGATCCAGTGGAGGTAGGTCCCGAACATGAAGAAATGTTGTGGACCCATACCCCAACTGTGCAATACCAAGAAAAATCCAATTTTCTTTTTATTGGACGCATAAAAGTCGATTGGACGCATAAACTGGAGTAGAGCCTATATTTCTTAATTTTTCTTTGATAGTTAAAGGGTAGTGTAATAAATTTTTAGTTTAAAATAGGGTTGTTGGCGACCGGTTATTAACCAGTACCCCCGGTTTTCGATTAATCTAAATTTTATAAACTCGGTTTTGAATTTTAGACAAATACCGGTTTTATTTTGGAGGAATTTTTTTAAAAATTACTCATTTTCATGAGTTTTCGGTTTTTAAAATTTTCCAAAAACGGTTAATTTTTGGCAAAAAATTTCAAAAATTCTGGTTTTAAAGCCGGTCGCCAACAACTTTATTTCAAAAAGTTTTAATTAAATTTTTAGCTCAAATTTCACTTAAATGTTTTCCCAATCCTTATTTTGTTTCTGTCACCACTGTCCGGGTACTTCATTTTCCCTTAGACGAATGGCCAGCACAATTTTTGCTCTAAGCTCAGGTTCTCCGCCTTCTGCAATTGCTGTGCTCAGAATTTCTGGTTTTCTTTGTTTATAAATTATTGAAAATAATTTTTTTTTTAATTTAGGAACTGAAAGTGAATCTGCTTTGCGTCAACTTACTCAAAAACATTCTGAGCGATTTAAACCTTTCCGATTATTTTACACTCCAATTTTTGATAAGGAAGGGCGTTTGTTGGACAAAGCGATGGCCTGTTTTATGAAAGGTTTCTTTTTCTATTGACTTTTGTGCCTAAAACAACGAGGGGATTTTCCTGTTGACTTTGATCTATTTCCTTCTGTTTTCTTTTAGTATTTAGCAAGAGCGTAGCCAGGGGGTTTCTGTGGCTAGAGCCCCCCCCCCCTCTTCCGAAATGCGGGAAATGGGGAAGAAATTAGGAGAGGGATGATCAAAAAGTTAATTTTTTGCGCCACAACCTCCAAACCTCACAAAATTTTCGATTGCGGCGCTGAAGAAATAAAAATATGGGTTAAAAAATTTTGTCCGCAACGCCAAAGTACCTCCTTTATAAAAACATTCTCTATTTAACTTATTTAAGGCCCCAAAACGTTTACCGGTGAAGATAGTGCCGAGCTTTACGTTCACGGTAGTCGTGCTGTTATTGATGCTGTCTGTGCAACATTGGCTAATTTAGAAGGACTTGAACCGGCTAGAGCTGGGGAATTTACTCGAAGGTTTTTTTAAATTGTGTTTTTGAAAATTTTTGTTCAATTAGAGCCTTTTACAATGGAAAAATGAATGCAGCAGAAGTTGAGGCTCTTGGTGATTTAATAAATGCACAATCAGAAGCACAAGTAATTTTTAATAATTTTTCAAGCTCTCAGATCTTATGTGAAATAAAATCCAATAAATAACTTATTCCACGAAAGTTTCACCAAATATCCCATCCAGGCCCGTAGCCAGGGGGGGGGGGTAGGGGGGGGGAATTCCCCCCCTCCCCCCGAAATGGGGAAAAGGGAAAAATTTGGGGAAGGGCTGGGGCAAAAAAAAATGAATTTTTTTGGCCTACGGCCTTCGAAATTTTCAAAATTTTCGCCTACGGCGCTAAAAATGGAAGAAATCTGGCTTCTTGAGGTCCAAAATTCAAAAATTTTCGCCTGCGGCGCCGAAAAAAGTGAATTTTTTTGGCCTACGGCCTTCTAAAATTCTCAAAATTTTCGCCTGCGGCGCTGAAAATAAAAATTTTTGGCGCCTTCGGCGCCAAAAATTTGGCGCAAAAATTTTTTCCCCCTTTGGCCCCCCCCCCCCCGAAAAAAATCCTGGCTACGGGCCTGATCCCATCTATAAGTTTATGTCTGCACCCAAATTCAATTTCATAACTGTCCAAGATTCATTTAAATTAACTTATGGTCCAAGTCATTTTAGCCATAGCCCCCAAAAACTAAGTACGGATCCAAACAACGTTTGAAACCAAGACGAACGAATTACTCAAAGATAAATCGAATCTGCCCAGCCGTGTTGAATGTGGATTGAAATTGATTTTGGTCTTCGACATAAACATTAAAATATCAAAGGCGAAGCCAGGAGGTCGATTTCAGGGGGGCTAAAATGGGTTGTGCGCCAAAATTCACTTTTATGATCATTTCCCTTCTAAAATTTTTTCACTTTCCCCATTTCGGGGGGGAGGGGGCTATAGCCCCAGAAGCCCCCTGGCTACGTCCTTATAAAATATAATGTTTTACTAAACGTTTCATTTAATTTAGTTGAGACTAAGCCATGCCCAGTCCAAAGTTGGAGAGTATTTGCTTCCATTAAGAGAAAAACTTGTCAGATTTCGTGCAAAAATGGAAGCGAGGTTTTTTATTAGTAATATTTTTTTAATTTAATTTTAAAGAATCGATTTTGCCGAAGATTTGGGAGATATTGAACACACATTAGATGAAGAATTTAAAAATGATTTGGATACTCTTTCTAGTGAACTTCGACATTTTATTAGATCTGCTAATAGAGGCCAACTAATTCGGTCAGGAATGAGTGTAGCTTTGATAGGAAGACCTAATGTTGGCAAGAGCAGTTTAATGAACAGATTGGGTATTTTTTTTAATAAATATTGTAATTGGAGATAACCCATGCCCAGTCCAAAGTGCAAATACTCAAAAATTTTTAATTTATTTTGGGAAATATATTTCTCTAATTTATTTCTAGTGGGTATTTTAGATAAGATTGTTTGCTTAATTTGATGTTATAAGTAAATAGGAAGCGTTAATTTTATTTGTGATTAATTTTTTGACTGACGACGTTTTTTTTCTAAATTATTAAATTAAAAGTTTTTAGAGGCTTATTGTCTTCCACAAACATTTTCTTAAATTTTAATAACCTTTTTTGGAATAACTGAATTAGATAGATTCAGGAAATTCTTTGGTACTAAGTGTAAGGAAGAGAAAGAGAGAGAAAGATCCAGCTGGTTAGCATTTAAAACGCTGACTGCGGGGGTTTAAGATCTATTAAAAGAGAAGGTGAAAGCAGCGTACCGGTAGCTCATTTGGTAGAGCACCTGTACGTGGTGAGCGAAAGCGCCAAGTGCCAGGAGGTCGCAGGATCGAAGCCTGCCCGGGATTAAACTTTTACCTCGCTCTTACTTAAGTAAGGGCGTAGCCAGGGGGCTTCTGTGGCTTTACCCCTCCCTGAAATGAGGAAAATAAAAAAAATTTAGAAGGGAAGTGATAGAAAAGTGACCTTCTGGCTACGCCTTTGGTACTGCATAGGTATTTTCAGAAAAATAGTTTGTGGATTAAGTTTGTGTACTTTTTGAGTTATTAAATTAAAATTACTATTTTTAAATTTAAATTTATCAAAAAATATTTTCAGCAGAAAGAGATATAGCTATTACCTCAAATATTAGTGGAACAACTCGTGACTGTCTAGAAGCACGTCTTCACCTTGGAAAGCAGTTAGTCACCGTTATAGACACCGCTGGTATTCGAACAGATTCAAACGATCCTTTGGAAGTTGAAGGAATTCGGAGAACGTTGAGAAGAGCTTCTGAAGCACATTTAATTATTTTGGTATTGGATGTTTATCAAATGGAAAAATTGAAAGAAGAAAAAAATATAAGGAAGGAAATGGAGTTTTTACTTGAAGAATTTTCTTATAAACCCGAAGAACAATTTTTAATTGTTTGTTTGAATAAGACTGATTTGTTGAAAGAAGATTTGGATAGAAGAAAATGGTTGGAACAATGTAAAATTTTTTAGACAAATTAAATGATATAAAATTTTTGGGAGTTTATTTTTGTTATACATTTGAGAATCAAAAAATTTGGGATATTGAAAATATGCCTGGCTTATAGTGATGTTCGAGAGTTAAAAAAAGTCGAGACCAAGACCAACCCCGAGACCGAGACCAAATCGAGAGTCGAGACCGAGAGATTAGGAGGGATATCACTTGATACCCCTCCTAATCCCCAAAAATCCTTTGATATACCTCATAATCCCCCAAAATCCCTTAAATCCCCAAGGCCACAATATATATCGCTACTGGCTTACTCATGAACTTGGGTATATTAAATTCTTTAATCTATTGTGTAGAGAATTGCCTAAAACACTAAATTTTTGGATTTCTTCCCAGATCCTTAAATAAATAGATTTAAAAGTTTTGGTCCTATAGAATTGAATTAAAATTTCAAAATGACTATCATAATCAAAAGTTGAAAGTTACGAGTTACTAGCTTTTTAGGTTACCAATGGGCTTGAATTTCGGATAAGATCAAAATTATTGTATAATTTTCTTTTTTTCCAGGTCTTAATCCTAATGGAAATTTAAAACTAGTTTGGACCTGTTGTATTCAAGAAAATGGTCTAGATTCTCTTTTACAAACAATTTCCTCAATTTTAACAAAATTGGGCAACAATGACCTTGAAGGGAATGAACCTTTTCTTTCCCGTGAGCGTCACATTCAATGTTTAGAAATGGCTTTAGAAAATTTGGAGGTGAATAAAAAATTTAAAAAAATTTTAATTTGACGTGTTTAGGGCGCAAGAAATGCCTTAATTAAATGGAATGACCCGGCAATGGCTGCTTTTTTTATTGATAAATGTTTTGAATCTGTTGGGGAAATTGCTGGTTTTATTGTGCCGGAACAAGTTTTGGACAGCATTTTTAGTCAATTTTGTATAGGAAAATAATTTGTTAAAAATACATATCTTTATTTGTTATTTTTTTGAAACTAGTCAAAATATAGTTGGATTCCGTTTGTACTTATACGCATGAGTATTGTCGGTTTCAAACCGAACCGAAAATTGCGGTTCGGTTTGTCGGTTCGGGTTCGGTTAACCGAAGAATTTGGTAAACCCGACAACCCTACGCTAAATAGACAACATAAAACGGTACATAAAATTTGTTTATCGTTTTTTGCCGTAGGCAAAAATTTTCAGAAGGAATGGTTGAAACAGAAATAGTCAGACTTTCCTCCAATTACCTAGGTCATATTGTCTTATAAGTAATTTTTGGGTCTCGACGAGCTCTATCAAATAAGTTATGGTTTATCCCAAAATAAAATCCTCCAGAAACTAGTTAAGCATACATGGTTTGTTTATTAAACATAGATTCATTCATAAGTAACGCGCTAATAAAAATTTAAAATTTAATAGATTTATAAAATTTGGATATAGTGTAGTGTGCTGATTGTAAAAGTTTTGGTTAGAACATGTCATTCGATTCGTCTTGACGAGCTGAGTCGAACGGTTTCGTTCCCTACTTTATAAATTAATTCTGGACCGAATTATAGGTCCCGAAAATATAAAATTTTTTGAATTAGTTAATCTTTATACTTAATATTTGATTAATATTTAATTGGTATACACTAAGTGTTTGCCATATATATAATTTTGTTCTTCCAGAATCAAGATATTGAAAATCTTGAATGTTGAAATATTTCTCTACGTTCATTGTGGATGTACTTGTGAACGATTAAAAATAGCATTTCGATATGGGGTGTTTGTTAAAATACAAATAATTGGGTTAAATAAGGGCATAAAATGAAAGAAAGTGGAAATTAATATTCGAATAATATTTGTTGTATCGTTGGTTGTTGTTGAAATTAAGAAAAATAAAAGTCCAGATTGGTTGATAAATGGTACAATAGCCTAAAAATTAATAGAAAAAATATCCTTTTTAATAGAGTATCCATCTTTTCATTAGAGATTATTTGTTGTGTATGGGCGAACCCCCTGGATAGTTAGTGTCACTGCGGTCAAAAGTTTATGTACACTGGCTATAACGGGAGAGTAGTCAACCGGGAGTGTGATAAGATGTGAAATTGGTCATGTTATCTTTCTTAATCAACAAATCCGTCTTAATCCGCCCAAATCCGTCGCTATCCTTCTTAATACCCACAAATCCATCTTAATTTGCAGTCATTTGACCTATAGGGTCTTGACCTTCCGGGTTTTGACTTTCTGGGTTGATCCCGAAATATAGAATGACAGTCATTCTATTAGAGATTTTAATTGAAAATATTTCACTATAAATAATTCATAATGCCAAAAACTATGAGAAAAGTTAAAATTTTCTTACCAAAATAATCAAAACTTTTGTTAAAAGTTTATTTAATTTTTTTAAGTTTCCATCAAGATTAGTGTTTAAATCGACATATCTAACCATTTTGAATCCACAAAAAAATATTATTAAATATGCTGTTATTTCAATTAAAGCTGCAGGTAAAATTGACAAAACATTTACCTTTTTTTTGAAAATATTTTACAAAAAATATAAATTTAATTTAAAAGATACCGTTTCCATTTTACATTGAATAAACGGCCAAGTTTTGTTGAAATTATCAAAATATTTAACACCTCCATTAGAATATGGTAGAATAAAGAAATACAAATCCGAAACAAAAAATAATGTTACAAATGGAGCTATGGACGCCATAAATAGATAACGACGAAAATTAATTTTTTTATTCCTAATAATATTTATTTTAGGTATTTTTTAGTATTCTTACAATTATTAGGGTTGTCGATTCCTGTAAATTCTTCGGATATTCGAATCCGAACTGTAGAACCGACCCGAAAAATCTTCGGTTCGGTCCAGACCCGACAACCCTATTCTTAGTCATTTACCTATTCAAAACTAAATATCTATAAATAAATTGAACACACAATCCATATGTATTTACATTAAATATATAAAGCCCAACTATAAAAACAATATAACATATAAATGGATATTCTTCCATAAAACAAAGCAAAATTCCATTAGGAAAAATAAAAATTGTATTCCCTTCTGTATCAAGCATATAATACTATAAATAATTATAAGATTGTTTGAAATTAATTCTGATTTTAAATTTAAATATTATCCTTCGAGTTTTAATTTACTTAATTCTGATGTTTAGTTGAAAATTATTCTCATTTATACATGAATTGTTCTTGTTATAGCAGGGCTGTGCGCCAAAATTTTCTCGTGGAACGCTAAACGCCAATTTTTCAGATTTTTAAAACACACGCCAAACGCCAAAAATGGACGCCAAACGCCATGAAGCTCAGCCTTGTTCGGTCGGAGTTTTGTCTGTCGCCTATTCCACCTATTTATCACCTTCTCGCGCCGCATGCGAAAATTTTGAGAATATTTGATAAGCTAAATTTCGTTCTCTTTCAGCGCCGCAGGCGAAAATTTGAAAACTTCGTATGGCCTTAGCTGAAAAAAATTCACTTTTTAGTAGTCAAAGGAAAAAATTTAAGAATTTTAGAGGAACATAAACCCATTATTCTGCTATGTAAAAATAGAATAATTTTTAAAACAAAATTAATTTTATAAAATTAATTATTTATGGAAAAAATATGAAAATTCATTGGCCTCTGAATTCATTGTAAATCATCAACGACTTAGGTGAGGCCTAACAACTAACCACACGGCCACTCTGCACTTAGGGCAGGCGAAAAAATTAAACATATTTACTCGTACCACCTCCATTTTTGACCTCGTAATCGTACCTCATACCACCCCTATTTTTTGCTTTTACTCGTACCAAGTACGAGGTCCAGTGCTTGGTACCAGCATCCAAGCACTTTACAGGATATTATAATATAAGTTTTCTGGTTTATCTTTGTTTTAATTACATGGTGAAGAAACAATTGGCAAAACAACATTAAAATATCCAAAACACAATTTTGTATCAGAATTCGACTGTGTGTTTTCATTTCTTTTGGTGTTTTAAAAATAATTAAAACAATCAGAAGAATATTTAAAGGAAAACCAATTAAGAAACAACCAAAATAATCTAATTTAAATAAAATATCAAGTATATCCAAGGACATTTTTTTGAATTTTTTAATTTTAAGTATAATAAAAGTAATAATTTTTACCAAATAGTTTCTTTAATTATAAAGTATAAATCTTAAAATCTTAAAAATTTCATTTTTCATGTCATGGAAGAATACAAAAAATATTTGTGAGAAAATTTTGTTTATTTTAACATGAAAAATAAATTTTAAAATTTAATGACATTTATTTTGTGAATTAAATTAATTAATTGAAAAATAAATACAGTGTGACACAAATAATAAGACCACCTGAAATTTTAACGATTTTCAACAATTTTTCAACTTTAATCAAAGAAAGTTTACATATTGTGCCGGAACAAGTTTTGGACAGCATTTTTAGTCAATTTTGTATAGGAAAATAATTTGTTAAAAATACATATCTTTTATGTTATTATTTTTTTTGAAACTAGTCAAAATATAGTTGGATTCCAGTTGTGCTTATACGCATGAGTATTGTTGTCGGTTTCAAACCGAACCCGAACCGAAAATTTCGGTTCGCTCTTTCAAATGAGCTATGGTTTATTCCAAAATAAAATCCTCCAGAAACTAGTTAAGCTTACATGGTTTGTTTATTTTATTAAACACAAATTCATTGATAAGTAACCCGCTAATAAAAATTATAAATCCGAGTTTTAATAGATTTATAAAATTTTGACATAGTGTAGCGTATTAAAAGTTTTGGTTGGAACATGTCATTCGATTCGTCTTGACGAGCTGCGTCGAACGGTTTCGTTCTTAATAAATTGATTCTGGACCGAATTATAGGTTCCGAAAATATAAAATTTTTTGAATTAGTTAATCTTTATACTTAATATTTGATTAATATTTAATTGTTATACACTAAGTGTTTGTCAAATGTTTAATTGTTCTTCCAGAATCATGATATGAAATATTTCTTTACGTTCATTGTGGATTTACTTGTGAACGATTAAAAATAGCATTTCGATATGGTGTGTTTGTTAAAATACAAATAATTGGGTTAAATAAGGGCATGAAATGAAAGAAAGTGGAAATTAATATTCTGATAATATTTGTTGTTTTGTTGGTTGTTTTTGATGAAATTAGAAAAAATAAAACTCCAGCTTGGTTGATAAATGGTACAATAGCCTAAAAATTAATAGAAAAAATGTTCTGGTAATATTCAATTTCGTTCCCCCTCCTTTTTCCTTCTTCAAAGTATTAAAAAATGGTCAGTCAATCTTAAGTTATAGAACTCGTCGCACTATGTCGAATGACACCAAAATCAAAAAAATCAGACTTGATTTGACAAAGTTATGACATATAGTAGACCTAACGGAGTCGGCGACTTATGTCATAACCTTGTCAAAGCTTGTACAATTACGTTGATTTTGGTGTCATTTGGGTACTATGCGTTTATATCCCCGCAATTCTGCAAATGTTTGTCCGCACTTTTTTGATTCTCTCACCTCAAAAAGGATTAGAAACGGTCAAGTTAACCCCCATTTTTTCTTCGCCTTCGTTCTCCTCTCACAAAGATTAAAATGTTCAAGTAAAAATAAAGGAAGACTCGCTTATAGAAAAATATAAAGGTAAAAATAAGAAAAATTGAACAACCCCCATGGTTGTTCAATTTTAGGGGTCTGTATTTTGGTCAGATCAAGTCTGATTTTTTTGATTTTGGTGTTATTCGACACAGCTCGACGAGTTCTATAACTCAAGAGGGCGAAAATTTCGAGAATTTACAGGTTAAATTCAATTTTTTTAGCAAAATGTCCATTTATAAGCAGGGTTGCCGCGGGTACAAAAAATTTTCGGGTACGGGTTTCGGGTATCGGGTTGGAGCGTTTTCATTTCGGGTCACGGGTTTCGGGTTGGCAAAAATATCGGGTACGGGTTTCGGGTCATAAAATTTTCATTTCGGGTATCGGGTTTCGGGTTGGCAAAAATTTCGGGTACGGGTTTCGGGTTTGGCGAAAAATTCGGGTTATCAGATATAATGATTTAGAGGATATCGGTGGATTAATCAACAGGTCCCTTGATAAAATCCCACTATATACTAATATCCCTCCGCTTTATTTCCATTAATACTCCAATTTTCTCCCGTTTTCAGCGCCGCAGGCGAAAATTTTGGGAATTTTGGAAGACCAAAAAGCCAAATTTCTTCCATTTTTTGCGCCGCAGGCAAAAATTTTGAGAATTTTAAAGGCCAATAGGCAATATTTCTTCTTATTTCAGCGCCGCAGGCGAAAATTTTGAAAATTTCGGAAGGCCTTAGGCAATAAAATTCACTTTTTAATGGCCAAAGGAAAATTTTCTAAGAATTTTAGAGGGTAAAAATATGTAGAATAATTTTAAAAACAAAATTAAATCATAAAATAAAACCCACATAACGACTGGGGTGAAGCCTAACACATTAACCATTAGACCACCGACTAATATAAAATAAATTGGAAAAAAATAAACATATTTCTTTCTATTTTTCTAAGTTTAAAAAATCGGGTAAGGCTAAGATTTCGGGTTTCAACCAATTTCGGGTCACGGGTTTCGGGTTAAAAAAAATATCGGGTACGGGTTTCGGGTTGGAAAATTTTCAATTCGGGTATCGGGTTTCGGGTACAAAAAAAGGCCGGGTTTCGGGTTTCGGGCGGCAACCCTGTTTATAAGTACATACTTACAAATAAGTACATTTTCAATTTCATAAGCACGAGGGTTAATTTATAAGTACTGTACTTCTAAAATAAGTACGAATAAGAACCCTGGTTTAGTATAAATAAAAACCAGACAATGAGAAATTTTAAAATCTTACCAAAATAATCAAAACTTTAGTTAAAAGTTTATTCAATCTTTTTAAATTTCCATCAAGATTAGTGTTTAAATCGACATATCTAACCATTTTGAATCCACAAAAAAATATTATTAAATATGCAAATATTTCAATTAAAGCTGGAGGTAAAAGTGACAAAACATTTAACTTTTTTTTGAAAATATTTTAAAATTTAACTTAAATTAACCGTTTCCATTTTACGTTGAATAAACGGCCAAGTTTTGTTGAAATTATCAAAATATCTAATACTTCCATTAGAATATGGTAAAGTAAAGAAATACATATCCAAAACTTGAAATAATGTAACAAATGAAGCTATGGACAACATAAATAGATAACGACGAAAATTAATTTTTTTATTCCTAATAATGGTTATTTTAGGTACTTTTTAATTCATTTATTTACCTATTCAAAACTAAATATCTATAAATAAATTGAACACACAATCCGTGTAAATTTACATTAAAAATATAGAGCCAAACTAGTAAAACAATATAGCATATAAATGGATTTTCTTCCATAAAACAAAATAAAATTCCATTAGGAAAAATATAATTTGTATTCCCTTCTGTATCAAGTATATAATACTGTAAATGATTATAAAATTGTTTGAAATTAATTCTGATTTTAAATTTTATCCTTCGAGTCTGCGTACTGGATTGTTCTTTTTGTCGGGGTTTTGTCTGTCGCCTTTTCCGCCTATTTATGACCTTTTCGCGCCGCAGGCGAAAAGTTGAAAACTCTAATAGCCTTAGCTGAAAAATTCACTTTTTGGTAGTCAAAGGAAGAAATTTAAGAATTTTAGAGGGCCATAAACCCACTATTCATTCACGAAAAATAATTAAACTTATAAAATAAATTATGTATTTATGAAAAAATTAAAAAATTCCTTGTCCTCTGACTAGGAATTGAACCCACCCCTTAATCATCAACGACTTGGGTGAAGCCTAACACCTACCCACTCGGCCACTAGCTCATTGGGGCGCTGAAAGAAATTAAGCATATTTCTTTCGATTTTTCTATTAATACAACGTACGAGAAAATACTCGTACTTTCTGCTCGTACTCGTACCACCCCTATTTTTTGCTCGTACTCGTACCAAGTACGAGGTCCAGTGCTTGGTACGAGCATCTAAGCACTGGACACGATATTAACAAGTTTTCTGGTTTATCTTTCTTTTAACTACCGATTGAAGAAACAATTGACAAGTCAACATTAAAATATCCAAAACACAACTTTGTATCAGAATTCGACTGTGTGTTTTCATTTCTTTTGGTGTTTTAAAAATAATTAAAACAATCAGAAGAATATTTAAAGGAAAACCAATTAATAAACAAACAAAATAATCTAATTTAAATAAAATATCAAGTATATCCAAGGACATTTTTTTGAATTTTTTAATTTTAAAAGTTGTATAATAAAAGTAATAATTTATTATTAAATAGTTTCTTTAATTATAAAGTACAAAAAGTTTTCTGTCATTCTTAAAAATGTTATTTATCATGTCTATAAAAATACAAAAAATATTTGTGAGAAAATTTTGTTTATTTAAAATTAACAAATAAATTCTTAGAAAATATTTTTTAATTTACTAATATACAGTATTTATTCTAATATAATAGCCGCCATCTATTTTTCGATACCCTCAAAAAAGGGCCATTCAAATGGAGGTGGCCATTCTATTTTTCATATGTAGGTCAGCAGTAAAGCTTTGATGAATCAAATACCCGATCTAATATTTTTTAATTCAAAATTTTACCGACTTTTACCGATTTACCGACCTCAAATGAACTAGGATTCAAGCCCTATAAGATCAAAAAAGTACAACTTTTTACAGAAAAAATGAAAAAAGTTAGGACCCAGAGACGGAAGTCCCTTCCGAAGCTGTTCGCAAATCAAGCAACACTTTCTTCAGTCTATTTATGGTGTCCATAGCTTCATTTGTGTCATTATTTTGTTTCTGAGTTATTTTTCTTTATTGTACCATATTCTAATGGAGGTGTTAAATATTTTGATAATTTTAACAAAACATGGCCGTTTATTCAATGTAAAATGGATACGGTTAATTTAAATTAAGTTTTTAAATATATTTTAAAAAACCGACATTTTTTACTAAAATTCTTACCGACATTTTTTTACTAAAATTCGATATTTTGGATTTGTTTAGTTAATTTTCTCAGTCCCTGTCCCTCCCTGTTGACAATGAGCTAAATGGCAAAGTCTGATTAGCTTCGATGCCACACAATCAAAATTTCCTGTAGTTGTGGCATAATTGTTTGTGGCATTGAGGAATATGGTCATGATATAGTATAGGGATCAAGAGGCATTTAAGGCAAGTCAAGCAACACTTTCTTCAGTTTAAATTTTTTCTATGAAGGAAACATGTCCTAAACATTTCTTGTCACCCTGTATTATTACGAAGCAGAAAATTATATAGAAGTTTCTTAACTGTGTGAAAAAGTTGTTTATCTTTTAAAAAATACAAAAAACATTTGAGAAAATTTTGTTTATTTTAACATGAAAAATAAATTTTAAAATTTAATTACATTTATTTTGTGAAGTAAATTAATAATTTAAAAACAAATACAGCGTGACACAAATAATAAGACCACCTGAAATTTTAACGATTTTTCAACAATTTTTCAACTTTAATCAAAGAAAGTTTACATATCTGTTTCTTACCTTGAATATTAGTTATTTAATAAAATAAATTAAAAAACCTAAAACGGAATGCGAAATTTCGCGAAATTTATTAAAAACAAGTGACACAAAATAATAAGACCACCCCCAAGTTTCGATATTAGAGGTGTTCAAAAATCTACAAAAATTCAGGTAAACCACTTAATTACTCTCTTCAGCAAGAGTGTAAATACGTTGCATAAATTTTAAAATTGTGTTTTCAATTATTGTGGATTTACTTGTGAACGATTAAAAATAGCATTTCGATATGGGGTGTTTGTTAAAATACAAATAATAGGGTTAAATACAGGTGTTAAATGAAAAGAAATGTGAAATATTATTCGAATAATATTTGTTGTATTGTTGGTTGTTTTTGAAAAAATTGCAAAAAATAAAATTCCAGCTTGGTTAACAAATGGTACAAGAGCCTATAAAATAAATTAATTTTCTAATGTCAAAAAACGTTAAAAATATTTTATTAGATCACACGAAAAAGATAGTTAAAGCACAGAATTGTTATTTTAAAGTAACTAAAAGGCAAAATATCTTTTGAACATATTTTTAAATTTTTTGGCCTAAATAAGTCAATTTCACCATTTTCTGGGCTCAAAAACATGCTCTACTTATTAGACCCCTATTATAGAAGCTAGAACTTAATTCCAATTTTCAACAAAATTAAATCCTACCAAAATAATCAAAACTTTTGTTAAAAGTTTATTCAATCTTTTTAAATTTCCATCAAAATTAGTGTTTAAATTGACATATCTAACCATCTTGAATCCACAAATAAATATTATTAAATATGCAGATATTTCATTTAATGCAATAGGTGAAAGTGATAAAGCATTTAACTTTTTTTGAATTTATTTTACTAAAATATAAATTTAATTTAAAATATCACCGTTTCCATTTTAAATTGAATAAATGGCCAAGTTTTGTCAAAATTATCAAAATATTTAATGCCTCCATTAGAATATGGAATAAGAAAAAGAATCATATCCAATATAAAAAATGATTGCACAAATAAAGTAATAAACACCATAAACAAATAACGACGGAAATTAATTTTTAAATTCCTGATGAAAATTAGGTTAACTGTATCCATTAATTAAATGGATATACATACTTTATTTGCTGTAATAAAGCGATTCTCTTTATTAGAAAGACGCCTTCTAATAAACCGACCTCCTAGAGGATGCTTGTAAAAAACCGACCGGTCGCACTATTAGAAGAAATACGGTAGCTTTGGCATTTAATTTTAAATTAGCTCAAGGTCGAGGTTGCCTAGGCTAGGCTTCAATTAAAAAGCTTCAATTTGCCTAGGCTTCAATTCAGCTATTGAGGCAAAATATTTAATAAATGTTTAGAATTCCAAGCTTCTTGTATGGTGTAACAAGTATATCCTTGATCACAAATCTTTTTCATTTGTCTTATTTTAAAATAAGAAAACGATCAGGAGTATTCGAGGAAGGCCTGATTTTTTGTTTGATTTTCTAGTCGGGCTCTATTTTGTGTAAATCCTATTTTTGTAATGCTTGTAAGTAACCGAAAATTTTTGATTGAATACATAAAAACATTAAAAAAAGAATTACACTGTCCCCATAATTTTCATTCAAAACAATTTAGTTTACCTATTCAAAACTAAATATCTATAAATAAATTGAACACACAATCCATGTAAATTTACGTCTATAATGCATAGCCAAAATATAAAAACAATATAACATATAAATGGATCAAAATTTTCTTTTATAAACCAGATCAAAATTCCATTAGGGATAATATGAATTGTATTCCCTTCCCCATCAAGCATATAATACTAAAAATAATTATAAACATGCTTTAAATAAATCCGAGTTTCAAAGTAAAATATTAACTTTGTAAAATCTTTCTATAATCAATCCAAACGTACTATCACATTTCTCATTTTTTGAAACAAAATGATAGTTAATTTTAATTTAGGTATACCGTATTTACTGAAATAGTACGGCCGGCCGTACTACATATTTTTCAACCCTCTTCCAAAGGGCCGTACTATTTGAGGGAGCCGTTCTAATAAAGGGGGCCGTACTATATTTCAACCCTCCTTCGGAATTTTCTGAATAATTTTTTGGTTGTACCACACTAAACTAAGTCTGTGTATATTGAATATTTCTTTTTTTACTTTTTTTATTATACACCAGGGATGGGCCGGGTTGAGAAAAAAGTCGGGTCGGGTTTCGGGTCGAGTTTTCAAAATTTTCTTCGGATCGGGTTTCGGGTAGAAAAAAGTCCGGGTTTCGGGTCTCAGGTCGGGTTTCGGGTCGGGCCAGTTCAAAATTTGAACAGGAAGCCAAATTTTTCTGAGAGGTTGAAGAATATCAGCGATTTGCGGGATTAATAATGAAAATTTATAAGAGTGATAAATAAAAAACAGGGATTAAATAGATTTGGATGGATTAAAAGTAATGTCAGGGGATTTGGGGATTAAGAAAAATATAAAGGCATTAAAAGTATCTGGAATTAAAAGTAGAGTAGGTAATTCCTGAGTAGAGTACTTTCTTGGAGGCAGCCCCTCGAATTTAAATTTAGTAAATATTAATCTGTAAAAATTTTAATTCTAATCAAAATTCGACCTTTTACGCAAAATTCGGACCTATTTTGGCCTTTTTCGGATTTTATTGAATCCGTGATCTTAAAACCTCATATTCTTCCGGTCTAATATAAATGGAATCCCCTTACATTACTAATTTATCTTATTTTACTTAAGTTTCCTGCATTTAAAACAGGCGCGGAAAGACTCTTGTAAAGGGTTCAGTTCTCTTCTTCGGTTCGGTTTCGGATATCCGATTTTTCACCGTTGTATACACCTCAGTTGTCTTAATAGTTTAATAAGAAAGATGGATTTAACTCTCGACTCTCGGCTTTTTTTAACTTCCGACCATCACTACTATACTACTAAAATTTCATAAAATCAGCTTAATATTGTGAGGATAATTAATATAATTTAAAGAGATTTTTACTATTTTTTCATGGGGGCCGTACTAATAAGGGGGCCGTACTAATTGAGGGGGCCGTACTATTTTTCAACCCTCATCGAAAGGGCCGTACTATTTAAGGGGGCCGTTCTAATAAAGGGGGTCGTACTATTTCAGTAAATACGGTATCTTTCAATGTTGGGGGATTGAATTTCAAAAAGGGGTGATTTCTGGCTTCTTGGTCTTCTAAGATATCTAAAATTATTGCCTGAGTGTATGAAGGATGTAATTCGAAATATTTAGCGACTTTTTTTTGAAATTTAAAATTACCGTTTGTAAAAACATTTGACAAGTCAACATTAAAATATCCAAAACACAATTTTGTATCAGAATTCGACTGTGTGTTTTCATTTCTTTTGGTGTTTTAAAAATAATTAAAACAATCAGAAGAATATTTAAAGGAAATCCAATTAATAAACAAACAAAATAATCTAATTTAAATAAAATATCAAGTATATCCAAGGACATTTTTTTGAATTTTTTAATTTTAAAAGTTTTATAATAAAAGTAATAATTTTTACCAAATATTTTTTTTAATTATTAAGTACAAAAAGTTGTTTATCATTCTTAAAAATTTTATTTATCAAGTCTTTAAAAATACAAAAAATATTTGTGAGAAAATTTTGTTTATTTAAAATTAACAAATAAATTCTTAGAAATATCATTTAATTTAATATATTTATTTAATAAATATGTATAGCATGTGAAAAGAGAAATGGATTAATTGAGGGGGGGGGGGCAATTAATTAAGTAAAAAATGTTTAAAAAATAAAAAAGTTTAGGTAACTTTTATTTTAAATTTTGATGAAAAATATATTAATTTAGAGTTTTCAAAAATAGTATAATTAGAGATAGACAAAACACAAAGCAAATAATTATTTTCTTCCTTTTTAAGCCTAAATTAAATCATTTTACAATAAAAATTATACTTTTTTAGTTAGAAATTTTTAAATGAAAATAAATGATGAATTTGATTATATAAGCTACAAGTTTATTTATACACTCTGTCACAAAAGTTAAGCACCCCAAAATTTTTGTAAAAAATGGACATAGTAAATATGGTGTACGGAATTTTGGTCACTGGAATTTTGGTCACCAATAGGAATTTTGGTCACCAATAGGAATTTTGGTCACCAAACGGAAAAAATAGTCTTATCTAAAATTGATATCAAAATGATAAAAAATGATTTTTTAACCTCAAGTTGATCAATTTCAATGTTTATCACTTTCTCGGCTGATCACTCTCTTGGTTGATCACTCTGGATCACTCTCCCGGATGAAAGATTAACTGGCAGAGTGATCAACAATGAATTTGATCAAATGGGGGTTGAAAAATCATTTTTTATCACTTTGATATCAATTTTAGATAAGACTATTTTTTCCGTTTGGTGACCAAAATTTCAGTGCCCAATATTCCGCTTTTTGACTTGGTGACCAAAATTCCGCTGGTGACCAAAATTCCAAAAAAATTGGTGATCAAAGTTCCGAAAAATCGTGGTGACCAAAATTCCAGTGCCCAAAATTCCGGCACCCGTAAATATATTCAAAATTAGATAAATTTTTAGTTTATTTAAAGTTTTATCTTAAATTTAAAAAATTCAAAAAATAAATTTTTATTGTTGAATAAATATTTAAACTTGAAACCAAATAATATTTAATCCAAAACACCTTTAATTTAGTGCAATGTGTCTTAGTTTACAATTTTCCAGTCCCAAGGGCGTATAGCCAGATTTAACTTTAACTTTAATTAAGAGTTGATTTGCTATTTTTTAAATGAATAAAGAGATGTCTAAAGCAGGGCTGTCCGCAATTGCCGATCGCATAAATTGCGTGGTTTTTTGGACTTGCGGATTACGGCTGCGGAAAATTTTTTTCACTTGCGGACAGCCCTGGTCTAAAGTCTTTACTATTTATTTATTATAAAGAATTTTTGTCTAAATTTTTAAATATTTAAATGTAAATCTGTATATCTGATCATTTTCAGTTGTAATTATTTATTTAATGTCAAATAATAAAATATTTTAGAATAATTACAGCCTTCTACACTGCGGTGCATATGTTTATGCACACTAGTTTTTTGTTCATAAGTTTATGTACACTTATTCAAAAAATATGTTCTATATGGCAATCGAAAGCTCTATTTGTATCTCAGTTGACACGTTTCTGCATTTTTCGAAATTCTGACATTTTCGAAAACTTTTCGACCGGTCTAACAGGTTGTGATATATTTTATAAAATAAATTTAATTTAGACTCAAATTTTAAATATTTAAATTCCCGCTCCCCTTTTTATTTTTGCTATTTTGACCTTTTTCCTCTCCCTATAAAATAATATGTTCCCCCCTTAAATTTTGTCATTCATTCAATTTCTTTAATTTTTGTCTTTTTCTGAAAAGAAGAAAATTGTTTATTTTAATTTGTGGAAAATAAATATTCTTATTGATATATTTAAATTTATTGACTACATTTGGTGTAAAGTATTCTGCATTACTAGGTACTACATTTTCAACTTTTCGAAGACACTAATAATTTTTAAATACAAAAAATATTTGTGAGAAAATTTTGTTTATTTGAATATTTATTTTATCAACTTAGTTAAACTTTTATGAGAAAATTAGTCTAGAAACTAGGAGGGTAGATTTGGAATTTTACCAAAATAATAAAAGTGCAGTCTTTACTACCAAACAAGCATGTGGAATCTTTTAAGTAAATAAACATTTTAATATCGAAATACACTCTGAATTAACAAAATTGTTTGAAATATAAATTAGAAACTCCCATCATTCAAACTTTAAAACGTATCTCAATTGAGAATTTTGAATAAAATTTGTCAAGCTGTACTGTTGTTATTATAATTTTTGGTCATACGACACTTGCAGATATGACCTTTGCAGACCCGACATTTGCAGACGACTTTTGCAGATCGACATTTGCAGATACCGACACTTGCAGATATGACACTTGCAGATCAGACATTTGCAGATCCGACTTTTGCAGATATTAATTTTTGAAAAAAAATTTAAATTTTAAAAAAATTTAAAAATCTTAAAAAATCAAAGGATGTATTATAGTATACCGGTGGAAAGGTT